CTAAAATGGATAGAAAAGAAAATTACGATAGAATCAAGATGTTGACGCTGTTGACCATGTTCACCATAGTCTATGAATATAGAATACAGCGCAGTACGTAATGTGTTCAATGAAACAACGTTAAAGATTAACACTCTCGAGTCAGACACTCTACTGAATCTGACTATATCGCCAATACCACCAGCAGTTGTTCCGAAATTCTTCAGTCTTCGATATCAAAGGCTGGAAGGGAATATTCGGGAAAAACATGGCTGCCTTTATACACGTCGCATTGAATATTTTGAGCCTTCTGATTGGTTAACCCTTCTATTGGTGAACTATAAAATGAGTCAGCTCATTTTGGCTGGCTCACTAGTACACTAGGGTACCCAAAAATTCCAACAGACACTATACACTAATCAAAACTAAAAGTTTGGATGGAAGACCCTATCAACACAGAAAAAAGGCGATAAGAGCTACTGGACTTGAAAAACCTATTATCCTGATTTAAGAGAAACATTTTATAAATTTCCATCGACATTAGCACTGGATATTCGGCCAATGAATATAGATTATATATATATATATATATATATATATATAATGCTAATGATAATATTAGCCGTTTCCTTATAAAGAAACATTCGACATTCAATAACCGAGCAGCCGGTACTGCTGTCTGTTAAAATTTATTTTATCTTGCTCTTAAAACAATTTTTCAGGAAATCAGGTTTCTCAAGTTTGACGGCTGTTATCGCTCTTTTCAGTATTGACGGGGATTTCTTTCCTAAGCTTTTATTTGAAGCAGTATGGAACCTCAACATCTTGATTATACCATTTTTTTCTCTTTGAGTTACATGTGATATCCATTTTAGATGATGTTGCTGTTGAAATTTCTCAAGTGATGCAGTTTGTTTTCACTGGCGCAGTTCCTTGTTTGTGATTGTGTAGCGCCAGTCCATAAGATGCGAAGAAGGAGGGTCTTCGCCAATATCAACACGACCAAAATTTTAACCATTGATCATAAAAAGCGGTTCTATAGAATTGACAGTTTAGATATTTCTGAGTTTTTAGGTTGACGTTTTCGTTTTGTAGCACTTTGCTGTATTGTGTGAAACTACTTCTAACGCAGCCTATTCTATGTTGAGTTACCCTTAACATTATAAATACCATTAATATTACGTTTAATATTACTATAGTATAAACGGAGACACAACTTTTGCCTTACTTAACCAATAATGGCGTTCTGACCGCAAAAGCTATTTTCTGAACAGAGGAGTATATTCGAAAGGAAATTTGATCCATATAGACAAGCAGAAGTATTTTCAATATTTAACGAATTATTCCACCGAGTATCCTTATCTTTTCTATTGTAATAATAATAAGCGAAATTCATTAACCTTGAAATTTTGTTGATTTTAATTTACTAACTTTTTGGGGTCTTTTCTAGTAATTCACTCTAAATAATGTAAACTTACTTATCGCAAATATTAATCCGCCCCAAGAAATTGCAAATTTTAAATCAAAGTTGTTTTGTTTTTGTTTTGTTTTTTTTAAATGGCACTCTTTTGAAATTATAAATTTTAAATCAAAATATATATTTAGCTTGCCATGTAGTTGCTGGAGTTAACAGCCTCAACATTGTCAGACACAATGCGAAGTTATCTATCTATATTTCTGAGATGAGGTATTATGTACACTATTTACATTATTCTGACTATTGTCCTCATCTTTGTTGCCATATTTATCCGATCCTTCAATATCTGTCTATATTTCTGAAATGAGGTATTATGTACACTATTAACATTATTCGGACTATTGTCCTCATCTTTGTCGCCATATTTATCCGATCCTTCAGTATCTGTCTATATTTCTGAGATGAGGTATTATGTACACTATTTACTTTATTCGGACTATTGTCCTCATCTTTTTCGCCATATTTATCCGATCCTTCAGTATCTGTCTATATTTCTGAAATGAGGTATTATGTACACTATTTACTTTATTCGGACTATTGTCCTCATCTTTTTCGCCATATTTATTACAACGTTTCGGTCGTTGTACGCTCCGGCGTTCTTCAGGTGGTTGGAATGTCGAACTGAACTGAAGAAGGCCGGAGCGTACAACAGTCGAAATGTTGTAATAAATATGGCGACAAAGATGAGGACAATAGTCCGAATCATGTAAATAGTGTTCAATCCGAAGCTGTATTTTACCTGGGACTTCGATTTATCGGATTGTTGGAGTTGATATACATCTTTGAAGGATGATCCAAATTATATTCATCTGGCGGTAAATAATAGTATGAATTTCGTTGACCCAGAAACGTCGGCTCACAGCAACCAATCGAAAGTATCCGTCGGAACAACGAAATGAAGAATAGGTCCATTTTCGGGACTCATCGCAGTATGACAGACTCTTATTTGAGTTCCTTTGGAGACATATGACAAAAAAGAACAATGAATGCATTTTTGAATAAATTTTAAAGGGCTGTAACGATTTATTCTCCCATTTGAATTTC